CTAGTCTATAGTCTAGTCTATAGTCTAGTCTATAGTCTAGTCTACAGTCTAGTTTATAGTCTAGTCTATAGTCTAGTCTATAGTCTAGTCTATAGTCTAGTCTATAGTCTAGTTTATAGTCTAGTCTATAGTCTAGTCTATAGTCTAGTCTATAGTCTAGTCTATAGTCTAGTCTATAGTCTAGTCTATAGTCTAGTCTACAGTCTAGTCTATAGTCTAGTCTATAGTCTAGTCTATAGTCTAGTCTATAGTCTAGTCAATAGTCTAGTCTATAGTCTAGTCTATAGTCTAGTCTATAGTCTAGTCTATAGTCTAGTCTATAGTCTAGTCTATAGTCTAGTTTATTGTCTAGTCTATTGTCTAGTCTATAGTCTAGTCTATAGTCTAGTCTATAGTCTAGTCTGTAGTCTAGTCTAATCTATAGTCAAGTCTAGTCTATAATCAAGCCTAGCCTACAGTCAAGACTATAGTCTAATCTATAGTTTAGTTTATAGTTTAGCCTATTGTTTTATATATAGTCATGTCTATAGTCTAGCCTATAGTCATGTCTATAGTCTAGTCTATAGTCTAGTCAATAGTCAAGTCTATAGTCTAGTCTATGGTCTAGTCTACAGTCAAGTCTAGAGTCAGCTCTATAGTCTAGTCTATAGGATAGTCTATAGTGTAGTCTATAGTCAAGTCTATAGTCTAGTCTCTAGTCTAGTCTATATTCAAGTTTAGAATCTGGTCTATAGTCTAGTCTATAGGGTAGTCTATAGTGTAGTCGATAGTCTATTGTCTATTCTTTAGTCTAATCTATAGTCAAGTCTATAGTCTAATCTATATAAACAAGCGTTACATTTTATTTGTAGCTTTAGTTAATAATTTACAACAACGTATCTTTTATTATTTATCAATTTTAAACAAATTTATCTTCTTTAATTTTTGCAATATCCAATGTTTATTTAAACAGTTTTTATCATTAACAAAATGTATATTTAAATAAAAAATTACGCTATTTTCACTTTGAAGCGAAGCAACATGTTAATTTAGCAATTTTAAATTTTTTTCAAAAAAACGAGTTTTTTTTATAAACTTAGTTTTTTTCAAAAATGATTGCATAAATACGCATCTTGGTAACAAATATTTTTATAAATTTTTAATATCAAATGACAGATATGCTACAGAAACCAATAATTTAAAATTCAATTTGAAATTAAAAACTCGTGCATATTGAATATTTAATGAAGTGAATTTTACTTTAAAGTTTTTTGCGGTTTTGTTTAAATAAATATTTAAAAATATATTGGTGTCATTAATTTAGTTTTTTTTTTTTGCCAAAATGTTGGGTAAAGGTTTTAAATTAATAAAATTTATTTGGTTAAGATTTAATAAATACTTTAGTTGTTTATAATCTGAAATAAACTAAATGTTTTAGAATAATCAAAAAATGTTTAAAGATAAAATCAAAATTCTGAAAATTTCCCCTTTCATTTTTTTTTTTTAAATTTTATGTCAAATCATCAAATAGCTACAAATTCTCTATTAAAACAAATTATGCCAAAATAAACAGAAAAAATCTCTTCTCATAAATATTTTGTAGAATATTTAGCCAAATTTTTTAAACCCTAACGTGCTTAGAATTACCAAAATTTAGAAAAAATATTTTAAAAAAATTTTATAATTTCCAGTTATTTTGGAATTCAGTTTAAAACTTCTAAAATAACCAGGAGAAAAAACAAAACATCCAAATAAACGTAATTTATAGACGCCAAAATGTCCCATTTTTTTATTTATTTTGTTTTAACTAAAACAAAGTGTTAAGAAAATATTTATAAAACGTGAACATTTTAAATAAAATTTTATGATTTTTTCTGTAGACGTCTTTTTCTAGTTTTTGCAATAAAATGGTTGAAAGAAAAAAAGGTGCGTCTTTGAAAAAAAAAAAATAAATAATTAATATGTCAATTTCTAGTCATAATAAAATTAAAATTTGTATTTCTTTTTGCGTTGTGATCTTGCTATTGACCACATTAATGTAGAAAATATATAACTTTTTGAGAAACTAATGATTTATTTATTGCAAAATGTTTATTTACACTTTTCTGTTTAGTAGTAATAATAAGTAAATGATTCTTAAAATTAAAATGAAAGCGAAGTGCGATGAAAACAATTTTGAATGAAAAAATCGTTGAATACTAGACTATAATAAACTAAATAGTATATATTTGTCTAAAGTTTAGACTATATATACTAGACTATAGACTATAAGCTAGACTAAAGACTTGTCCAAATACTAGACTGTAAACAGGACAATAGACTTTATATTATAACTATAGGCTTGACCATATTTAACTAAACTACAGAAGAGACAATAAACTAGACTATATATAGACTGGACTATAGACTATAATATAGACTAAACTATAGATTAGACAATAGACTAGACTATAGAGAAACTATAGAGTAGACTATAGAATAAGACTATAGACCAGACTACAGAATAGACTATAGACTAGACTTCAGACTCGACTATAGACTAGACTACAGACTAGTCTACAGACTAGACTACAGACTAGACTGTAGACTAAACTATAGATTACTCTACAGACTATATATCTAGACTATAGACTATATACATATATATACAGACTGTAGACTCGACTATAGACTAGACTACAGACTAGACTACAGACTAGACTACAGACTAGACTACAGACTAGACTACAGACTAGACTATAGACTAGACTATAGACTAGACTATAGACTAGACTATAGACTAGACTAGACTAGACTATAGACTAGACTAGACTAGACTAGACTAGACTATAGACTAGACTATAGACTAGACTATAGACTAGACTAGACTAGACTATAGACTAGACTATAGACTAGACTATAGACTAGACTAGACTAGACTAGACTATAGACTAGACTAGACTATAGACTAGACTAGACTAGACTATAGACTATAGACTATAGACTAGACTATAGACTATAGACTATAGACTATAGACTATAGACTATAGACTATAGACTAGACTATAGACTAGACTAGACTATAGACTAGACTAGACTAGACTAGACTAGACTAGACTATAGACTAGACTATAGACTAGACTATAGACTAGACTATAGACTAGACTATAGACTAGACTATAGACTAGACTATAGACTAGACTATAGACTAGACTATAGACTAGACTATAGACTAGACTATAGACTAGACTATAGACTAGACTATAGACTAGACTATAGACTAGACTATAGACTAGACTATAGACTAGACTATAGACTAGACTATAGACTAGACTATAGACTAGACTATAGACTAGACTACTAGACTATAGACTAGACTATAGACTAGACTATAGACTAGACTATAGACTAGACTATAGACTATACTATAGACTATAGACTAGACTATAGACTAGACTATATACTAGACTATAGACTAGACTATAGACTAGACTATAGGCTAGACTATAGACTAGACTATAGACTAGACTATAGACTAGACTATAGCCTAGACTATAGACTAGACTATAGACGAGACTAAAAACTAGATTAAAGACTAGACTAAAGACTAGACCTTAGACTAAACTGTAAACTAGACTATAGCTTAATATACAAAACTGAAAAAAACAAACAAATTGCTGAAATTTTTCCACAGTGTAACGCATGCAAAGCATGTTCCTCCTTAAAATGTTAACTGTTATTTTGTGGTTTTGTAGTTAAACGCTTTAATTATAATTCAACGTTTGTCTTAACAAAACAATAGGCACGTTTTTTTCTATATTGACCACAATAATGAGTCAATAAAATTGTTTAACAACAATCATAATAATAATTCGTTTGACTGTAAACAATATTAAGTTGTAGTCTTGTTATTGTTGTTGCTGCTGTTATTGTTAAAACATTTTACAATAAATTTTATTAACAATGTCTGGAAGAAGAAACAAACAAAAAAAAACAACACCCAAAAAAAGTGTTAACAAAAATGTAATAAATGTCGGTTTAAATATATATTGTTTTCATTGTTCTGGTTTATGTACAAAAAAAAATGTTGTCAGTGGGTTATTGTTAAAAAAACTCTACATAAAAGATTTTTGTTATTGTTGTTTTTGTTTATAACCTGGAGTTGAGTCTCATCTTAAAGGTTGTGCTTTATACAGACATTCAGTAGACAGTCAATTTTTCAATTAACTTGATTTTTTTTTTATTGATTATGTTGTCTGTCTGTCTATCTCAATTTTAATTTTATTTTTTTAATTGTTAGTTTTTTTTTTTTTTCTTATGTAATAAATGAAAACTGTTGTTTAAATAAGCTAATAACTTTTGTGAAATTTGATTTATTAGATTGTTTATATTTTATTTAACATTTGAGAAAATTTAAATAATATATTTTGTGTTATAAAACTTTAATAGAGGAAGCTATAAATTTTCATAATTAATTAGTGTATGTTTTATGGCATGGAAAATTTTACCGAAAACTTTTAGTGGAAATTTATGATAATTTATTTTAATGTTAGGTATAAATAGTACCAAAATAAAAAGTACCTTTTTTATTGTTGATTATAGAGAAATAGTATCTAACTTTCTAGATAAAGTTGTCTTGAATGTTAAAATTTTTGTATATTGTTTTAATCCCAGACTTGTAGGGAATACACTTAGTAATACAAGTTTAAAAATGGGTTTGTCTCTAATAGGAGACCATAGATCAAATGTAAGCTAAATTGCCAAAAAAATTATACTTTTTGCACTTAAATTACTAAACTTTATGCCAACTTTAATTACAAAAAATTTCCTACAATTTCAAGATCAATAAACTAACAGCGTCAAGTGTTAATTTTGAAAAAAAAAAAAAAAATATTGAAATTCTGCACATGAGTGTCTTATTGTTTTTTCTTTTTTACTTTTAGCTTTTTAGCAATATTTGTTAAAATTTTTGTTTATTTTGCATATTATTGTTACTAAATATTAATTTAATTTCCTTATTAATTATGACACTTTACACTTACCCAATAATTTGCCACGACAGGCCAGGGCTATATTTAAACATACTGCCAGCAAACACAATTGCAGTACAATTTGTTGTAGTTTTAATTTAAACATTTTGTTATTTTTCTTATTTATTTTTTTGTACACTTTTACACAAATTTAAAACTTTTTAATTTTATTAACTTTTTAATTTTTTTGGCTTATTTATAAGACAAAATTTTTCTTACAACTTTTTGTATGATATTTGAAAACAAATTATTTTCTTATAAATATTTCTTTCTTTTAGGGTTTTGTTAAATTTTTTTAATATTTTTTTTGTAGGTGGAAAATATTTAAAAACACTTAACTTTTTTTTCTTAATTTTTATATTCAACCGATTTATTTTTTATATTATTAAATTAATTTAAATAGAAAGAAATCTTAAAAAATGACACAACTTCAATATCCACTCTCGTGTACTGGCTAGCTAGACTTGAAGGCGTCTTATGGCTTGCCGGTGGCCGCTAACGCACGTTTATATACGACCATCTTAAACAAAATTTCTAAAGTTGTCGTTTAAAACATCGCAACGTATATTTCTTTCCAAATGTTTACAACAGCAGCACTTCTCCACTCAGCACCTTTAAAATAGTTTGCATTGAGAGAGTGTTATATTTCAGTTTTCCTTGTTCATTGAATTCATTGATTAAATTTATAAATATTTAGTTTGTTTTTCAGAGAGTAGTAGTAGTAGCGTTATGTATTGTCAAATCATTGGTTAACATAGGTAATTTTACTTGTAACTAAAATAAATTGTAAAATATGTTGGTAAATTGTTAATGTTTCTCAACAATGTTGAAGAAACAAGATCTATCATTATGCATTTGTTTCGTTTTTTTGTTAAACATGTTTCACTTCTGAGAAAACATTTACAATATTCAACATGTTGCTAAATAAGATATATACATGTCAGATGTGGAAAAGTTTATGTGAAGTTTTTAATATTAATTTGGTTTAATTCAAGTAAAACGCTCTGTCGAATTTTTTATACTCACCATCAAATCATGTGTCGTAAACAAAGTGTATTTCGGAAGGTTCTATTGATATTTCATTGCTATACTCCTATTTTAAACCCAGATATTAATCATTTTTTGAGGGGAACCCTTTATGGAGGGTAGGGTCAGTTATTGACCGATCGTTATGAAATTCGGTGGAAATATTTAGGGTCCTATAAAACTGGTCGTATATCATCGTTATATTTGTATTTTTATGTAATGACCGTTAAAGCCACTTTCTAAATGGGACATTATATGGGGATAGGGTCAATTATGGACCGAATCTCCTAAAACTGGTTAAATAAATTTGGATAAATATAAAACTTATTTGTGTCGCTGTACTCGTATTTTTAAGCCTGTTATGAGCGTTAAAGTCAGTTTCTGAAGGGGTCTTATATAGGGGTTAAAGACCTTATATGGGGATGAGGTTATTTATGGAGCGTTAAAACCACTTTCTGAATGGCATCTTATATGGGGATATGGTCAATTATGGACCGATCCTTTTAAAATTGGTTGAAGAAATTTGGGTAATTTGTGTCGCTGTACTCGTATTTTTTATATCTGTAATCTCAATGGACTCTTATATAGGGCTTAAAGAGATTATATAGGGATGGGGTTAATTAAGGAGAGTTAAAGCTACTTTCTGAATGGGATCTTTGTCAATTATGGACGAATCCTCCTAGAATTGGTTGAAAAAATTTGGGTAAATATAAAACATGTTTGTGTCGCTGTACTCGTATTTTTAAGTCTGTAATGAGCATTAAAGTCAGTTTCTGAATTGGTCCTTATATAGGGGGTAAAGACTTTATATGGAGATGGAGTCAATTATGAACCGATCCTCATAAAATTTGTTAGAGAAATTTGGGTTCATATAAAACTTATTTGTGTGAAATTTAAACTTAGTTCTAGGTCAGTAATGAGCGTTAAAGTCAGTTGCTTTGGGATCAGGGACCCTTATATAGGGGGTAGAGTCTATTAAGGACTGATTATCTTAAAATTTGCTAGATATTTTGGTTCATATAAGACTCCAGCAAGTCATTAAGTCATTATTTAAACACGGGGATGACATTGGAGGCAAGTACTTACCACGCTAGCTTACAAATAGGAAGTTAGGTAAGTACTTACTACGATCAGCTGCAAATAGGGAATTGTTTCAGAAAAAAAATGTCTAACAGGATAGGTCCACTGCTTCTACTATTAGTTATCACGAAAAAAATAATTTTTTCCGTTTGTGTTACAAAGTTGGAAAAAACATGTCAAAAACATCATAAAAAGTAAGTACTTACATAATATATTATTTGTAAGTCATTACTAGACTCATTATAAGCAATGCACACGATATGTAGTAGTCATTGAAAAATAAGTTGTTGAGTAAGTATACATAATGCACACGGTATGTAGTAGTCATTGAAAAATAAGTTGTTGACTAAGTATATAAGTATATATACTAGACTCATTCTAAGCAATGCACACGGTATGTAGTAATCATTGAAGAATAAGTTGTTGAGTAAGTATAAGTCATTATACTGTTTTTTCTGGGACTTGTTTATGTCGAATTTGATTGCTATATTCTTTTTTTAAAACAGTTAACTTATTCCACTTGTATGGGAGCTAGGTGAAAGCATTGACCGATATTGTCCATTTTCAATACCAAACAAACTGCAAAATTACAACGATGTTGTTTTCGTAATGGTTTGAGTCATTTATGGGTCTTATTTAAGACGTATCCAAATTATGAACACTAACTTTAAGTTGTGTGTTAAATTTTTATATAAATTAATTTTCCATCCCTGATACAAGTATTTCTTACACTAACTCTCTCTTTATGTTGATCGTACATTGCTACAATGTTTATAAACATTTATAATGGAAACATATTAAACTACACACAAAATGTTGCCAACCATTGAGTCTCTAATATTCTTATCTCAAATAAACATTTCATTTTTAATCATTTGCTTAGAGAGTCAAGTCAAGTTCAAGTTTTTTTCGAGAGATTTTTTTCCTTTATTTTGTATTTTAAAATATGGAGGTTTTTTTTATTTTGATAACAGGTTTTTTTTAAAGTATAATTTTAACAACTACTACTTGTTCAAGTTACTTTCATTTTGTTAACATTTTTTTCGAAAGAAATAAAATTTTAAATTTCTTTAAATTTAGACACAGGAATATTTTAATTGGTCGGATTTTAAAATGAGTTTAAAATTAAATAGAAATAGATATAAAAAACATATTTTTAAAATTGAGAAAAATATTTAAATTTAAAAACTTGGTAAAATTTAAAAGGAACTGATGTTTATCCTTATCAAATTTTAATTTTATCAAACGTTTCTAAAACAAAATCCTAAAACAAAATGTAATTTATAAACTTTTAATAAAATAACAGTTCGATTATAAATGACACTTTAAATTAAATTTTCAAAAATTTTTTCCGACTGTGATTACAAATGTTGCATTTTTGTGTTCGTTAAAGATTATTCAAATAAATATTACATTCAATATTATATGAAATATTTGTATTACAATTTCGATATGTTAACTATAGTTTGAAAGTTCTAATAAATATTAAATGATGCAATATCTAATATTTTGTTAATCATATTCAAAGGAGAAAATTGTAAAAATATTCCATTATTAAAAAATCTGCATTGACATAACTTGTTCTTTTCGACCATAAACATAAAAATGTATATTCATTTGACTAAATTAGCAAATAAAATATCATAAATATTCTATAAATAACTCTCCATTAAAATGCATAAAATTACATTAATATTAATATATTTCCAAAAGAATCCATAAAATATCTAATTAAATACTTTATATTAAGTTGGTATAATATATTTTAAAAAGATAAAATTTTGTTTAAATTTTATATCTTAGTTTAATCCATATACGTGAGAGCGTATAAATTTGTTTGCGCCGAATATAGTAAAAATATGCAAATTTTATGAAAATTTTCAAAATTAATAAAACGCAACTGATAGCAAATTTTGAAATAAAATCATGTTAATCTTTGTGATTTTTTTAATTAGGCTTAAACCACTATATGATTGTTATTAATTAAGTTAAATTTAATTATCATATTGTTTACAACGTTATTTATATTTCTTAGAAAATATTTCTATGTACGTCAGCAAGATTATGCTAAAATTTTTAATTTGAAAACAAATTATACAAGAAAGGTGTCTATGTTATAAAAACTATCAATATTAAAATATGGGGGATAACCTAATTTTATGATAACATAGTATAGGGCAAAATCGAATCAGGTGCGTAAGTGAGAAAGTATTATACGGTTAATAATCATTTGACGTTTTTATTTGTTTGAAAATTATTACAAAAACTACACTAGCACGTGTAAATCATTATGATTTTATATGAATATTAATATAGTGATTTCCCAAATCATCATCAAAACATAAATCCGCAAGAAAATTTCTGAAGATGTCCTTATAGGGTTAAGCTACTATATTGATGATATTATATTGATATTAATTTGAATATTTAGAATTAGTTAGTTAGTTAGTTAGTTAGTTAGTTAATTAGTTCGTTTTAGTTAGTTAGTTAGTTAGTTAGTTAGTTAGTTAGTAGTTAGTTAGTTAGTTAGTTAGTTAGTTAGTTAGTTAGTTAGTTAGTTAGTTAGTTAGTTAGTTAGTAGTTAGTTAGTTAGTTAGTAGTTTAGTTAGTTAGTTAGTTAGTTAGTTAGTTAGTTAGTTAGTAGTTAGTTAGTTAGTTAGTTAGTTAGTTAGTTAGTTAGTTAGTTAGTTAGTTAGTTAGTTAGTTAGTTAGTTAGTTAGTTAGTTAGTTAGTTAGTTAGTTAGTTAGTTAGTTAGTTAGTTAGTTAGTTAGTTAGTTAGTTAGTTAGTTAGTTAGTTAGTTAGTTAGTTAGTTAGTTAGTTAGTTAGTTAGTTAGTTAGTTAGTTAGTTAGTTAGTTAGTTAGTTAGTTAGTTAGTTAGTTAGTTAGTTAGTTAGTTAGTTAGTTAGTTAGTTAGTTAGTTAGTTAGTTAGTTAGTTAGTTAGTTAGTTAGTTAGTAGTTAGTTAGTTAGTTAGTTAGTTAGTTAGTTAGTTAGTTAGTAGTTAGTTAGTTAGTTAGTTAGTTAGTTAGTTAGTAGTAGTTAGTTAGTTAGTTAGTTAGTTAGTTAGTTAGTTAGTTAGTTGTAGTTAGTTAGTTAGTTAGTTAGTTAGTTAGTTAGTTAGTTAGTAGTTAGTTAGTTAGTTAGTTAGTTAGTTAGTTAGTTAGTTAGTTAGTTAGTTAGTTAGTTAGTTAGTTAGTTAGTTAGTTAGTTAGTAGTTAGTTAGTAGTTAGTTAGTTAGTTAGTTAGTTAGTTAGTTAGTTAGTTAGTTAGTTAGTTAGTAGTTAGTTAGTTAGTTAGTAGTTAGTTAGTTAGTTAGTTAGTTAGTTAGTTAGTAGTTAGTTAGTAGTTAGTTAGTTAGTTAGTTAGTTAGTTAGTT